ATGAAAGCGGCTCTACTGCTTTGTGGCTGCAGTAGAAACGTACTAAACACTTCAGAGGCACGGAGTCCTGCGCTGGTACAAAGGCAACCGTCCGGTTACATAGAAGCTGGGAGTTTTACCAGAAGACCCTGATGCCAAATTTTTATGGAAATGCAGGAGTTGGCCAGGGGGTGACTCTAAGCACTTATAAGGGATGCATTTTCCCTCTTGATGTCCCTGCACCACAAAATAGGAGAGGCAGGGATGTGACGGATCACGCTGGTATCCATTGCGTTCCTTTCTTCCAATTACCCTACACCGGACGACTTCTAGTAAATTAACCCCAAGCTATGGGGGATGGGCAGTGATCTCTGCAGAACCAGAACAAACCCCCAGCCAGGTACCTCGGTCAGCAAAAACCAGGGGGTTTGGCTCTAGCTCCCAACAGCTGTGGACAGCTTAATGACACTTGTATGAGGCTATTACTTTTCCTCATGTGGATTTAGGGGAGGAAGACCAAGAAGCATGCTATTTTTAAATAGCTTGTTATTGAGGGGGAGCAACCTAGAAGCACAGGCAGCTTGTGCTGTTAACCCCGGCAACGGGGGCTTCAGATTGCCTGTTGATCTTGTGTCTTTTCATTAATGGTTTCCATTGTTTCCAGGGGGGAGTAAATCCCCCCTAAACTTACCTTGGCAAAGTAACAACTATATTTTACCAAAGGGACAAACATTCCCTAAAAGGCAAAAAAGTAGCTTCTTTCTTCCACCCTCTGCCCCGTACCGAACATTCCAGCAGAGGACAGCTTAATTTTTAAATTATGTCTGAGTGTATACGCACACTCACACACACACTCACATACACACACTCACACTTACACACGCACACACATGCATACACACACGCACACACACACGCACCCACATGCACACACACGCACACTCACACACATGCATACACACGCACACTCACACACATGCATACACACACGCACACTCACACACGCACACTCACACTTACTCACACACATGCATACACACCCACACTCACACACGTACTCACACTTTCACACACACATGCATACACACACGCACACTCACACTCACATGCATACACACACACATGCACACTCACATGCACACTCACACACATGCACGCTCTCACACACCCACACTCACATGCACACTCACACTCATACACACACACACTCACACACATGTACGCACGCACATCCCTGCACCTTCCTCGTTCAGGCTGGTGCGCGAGTCCCAGGCTGAGTCTCAGCCCTCGCGAGAGTGTCCTCTGCCTGGGGACGGAAGCCGGCTGCTCTAAGTGACGGTGGCTACCGTGCGGGAGCTGCCCTCGCCTCCACCCCGCCCCCCGGCCCCCGTAACCACCTGGGATGCGGCTCCTCCAGGTTACCTGCAAGCCGCACAGCGAGTAGAGGGTTTTCCTTTCTTTGCAGGACTTGGGGAGCACGTCAGGCCCCAGACTCAGGCTGAGAGCAGGGTGAGGAGACGGCGGGGAGGAAGGCTCTCCTCTCCAGGGCATCTTTGATCCTGGGAGCCCACAGCTCGGCGCGGGCTCCTCCAGTGCCCCAGCAGGCAGGGCGGGCGCCGGCCGTGCGCGCTGGCTCGGTCGGGGCAGAGGGGGACGGAAGCCACACGCGCTGGACGGGGCTGCAGCTCCAGAAGGGCCCCCCAACCTGCTCTTCCCTTCCTCGCCCCCTCCCTTCCCCTCCCCCAACCCTCATCATCATCACCGCTTAGCTGTTATCATGAAGCACTTTGAGCCCTTTGAGCCCGTGGCCTTTGTCGTGACCCTCCCTCCCTCGCTTGGGACCGAGGACAGGGCTCACTTTGGAAAGTCCTGTCTGCACTGAGTGATCATCCGGAGCTCCTCCCACTGGGCCGGCTCTCGGGAAGGCCCCGTAAGCGCCAGTCGTCGCGGCCCCGCTCGGCCTTGTCACGACACTGTCACGACGCCGTCTTGAACGCTTCACGACGAAGCAAAGGAGGATGAAGGGCGGGGAGGTGACAGGGAAGCCTTCCTTCCCTCTGGACGGATGCCAGCGTTAGGCTGCTCGGCCCACACTCCATTCTGACGAGGCCGGTCTCCTCCAGGAAGCCAGAACGCTGGGCAGTGCACGAGTGTGATTCTAGATTTCATTTTTGTTCCAAATGTTCTTCCAACTGGACAGCCCCAAACGCTTGCTTTTTCAGTCATCATGCCTTTTTTTGGTTAATTGCTAAATGAAGGAGGATAGACCAGTTGTCTTCAGGCAACGCATGTCTCCCGTCTGTTCTGAAGCCCCGCCCTCCCG